CACAATTTAAATTTTAAAAAAAGGAAGGAAAGAAGGGAGGAAGTGTGGGTTAGGTCCCCCTAACTTTGGGGAAATTCACAGCCCTGTGACTCATTAATCCCTCTTCAACATCTGCAGATAATAAGGGTTCAGATGGAATTGTTGAATGCCTTTTGGATTTTTGGCAGAGATGGACTCATTAGTTATCTGTCAATCATTTACAAATCTTTTCTGAAATCAGTAGGCAAATAGTGTTTTATCATTCTGAACATGGATTCTTGTGAATGTGGGTTTCAGACGCTTCCTGATGTGTTCAGGAGACATTTAAAACAGGACACTGTCACAGAAAATGCCCGCATTGGCTAAAAATAAATATTTAGGTTGTACCTTGACAGAGAAGAATAATGAGTAAGACTGGAGGGTGTGATCTGTTCTAGAAGGTAACGCTTGTTAAGTTGGCTGAGGCCCGGCTCTCAGCACCTGTTATTTGAACCACGTGTGAATTATTACTCCTGTCCCTTTCAGAAAAATATGTTCATTTTCTCACCAAGTCCTGAGTTCCTATTCCTATTAAATTAAGCTGATAGATAAGCTTCAAACGACCAAAGTAACTTATTAATACAACATTTCCTCGGCATGCCAGGGAAGTTTTATAGGAAAGTCAGGAAGAGAGTGATAAATAGAAAATAGTATGTTTGGAAGTTCTGGTAGGAGCCATTAGACAAGCCAGTAAAGCTACTGTCTCTTAAACATTCTGTACCTTTAAAAAAAATAGATATGTTTAACCAGAGGCAGAAAGCACAGCATGAAATTCAATATTTCTGTAGTTAGATGAAGTGTTAACATACACACAAAACAAAAGGAAGAGAAGCACAGAAAAACACTTTATACTGCTCTTAAATTATATGAAGCGGATCTCCTACAGGGTGTATAGTTGATCAGATAAGCAATCACTAGCTAGAACTGGCATCAAAAGACCAGAAACTTAGCCAGATGCTGGTGGCTCCCATCTATAATCATAGCTACTCAGGAGTCTGAGCTCTGAGAATCACAGCTCAAAGCCAAACTGGACAAAAAAGTCCATGAGACTCATCTCTAATTACTCATCAAAAAGCCAGAAGTGGTGCTGTGGCTCCAGTGATAGAGCACTAGCCTTGAGGGGGGAAAAAAGCTCAGGGATAGTACCTAAGCCCTGAGTTCAAGTCCCAGGATCAACACAAAAAAAAAACAACCAAAAACAGAAACTTATGCATGTCTTCCAAAAGTTTCAGGAAGAAAGTTGTACCATTCACCCAACACCTTGTGTCACACAGAGTATCACTATGCACCTTTAGCATACATTACAAGCATGAAGACAGAGGACTTGGCTCTCTTCTGAGTTCATCTAATATACCAGGAGACTTCTGGCTCAACTGTCTGTGCTTGTCTAACTGATAACTTGTTAAAGGGCTTTTAGCTGAGTGCCGGTGGCTCATCTTGTAATCCTGGCTATTCGAGGACTGAGGTAGGAGGGTCCTGGCTCAAGTCAGCCTGGGCAGACAAATCTGAAAGACTTTCATCTCCAATGAAAGAAAAAAAAGCCAGCAATGGAGGTCTGACTCAAGTGGTAGAGACTCAGCCTTCAGCTAAAAAGCTAAAGGACAGTGAACTTTGAGTTCAAGCCCCATTATTAGTAGATAGATAGATAGATAGCTTCAAAGGGCCGAAATCATAGGCTCGATCAACCTGCCAAATATCCATACTGTGCTGTTATCCCCTGAGCTGCACATTCAGTTCAGTATAGAGAACACCAGTTTACACTGCTTAATTACTTTTACTGTTTCAAATCTATTTTAAAATCTAATTTAAAACATAAGGATTTATTAGCAAGTCACATTTTAGCTGTGCAGAATGTAATAAGTATTAGAATTAAAAAGATTGTATAAATCTTTTTTTAAAAAAGTAAAGAGGGGCTGGGAAGGTGGCTCAGTGGTAGAGGGCTTGCCTTGCATGCATGAGGCCCTGGGTTCAATTCCTTAGCACCACATAAGCAGAAAAAAAAAAAGCCAGAAGTGGCACTGTGGCTCAAGTGGTAGAGCGTTAGCCTTGAGCTGAAGAGCTGAGGGACAGCGCCCAGGCCCAGAGTTCAGGCCCCACGACCGCCCCCCCCCAAAAAAAAGTAAAGAGGCAGGGTGCTGGTAATCTTAGGCAATTTGGAAGACGCTGAGATCTGAGGATCATGGTTCAAAGACAACCTGAGGAGGAAAATCTAGGAGACTCTTATCTCCAAGTAACTACTAAAAAGCCAGACATAGAGTTGTGTGGCTCAAGTGATAGAGCTCCAGCCTTGAGCGAAAAACCTCAGGCCCTGAGCTGAAGCCCCAGTACTGTCACACACACACACACACACACACACACACAGAGTCACTCACTCACTCAAGTATCAGCAAAAAACCAAGGGACAGAACTTCTGCCTAGCAGTGGAAGGAACTAAGTTGAATCCCAAGTACTATAAAACAAAACTAATTTTTTTAAGATATTGGACTTAGCTTTATTAACATTTTGATTTAATCAACGGAGCTCATTGGATTACAATGTATTCATTAAGGAAAAAAACCTATATCTGCTTTTCTATGCATTTGTCCCTTCTTAGGTCTTCAGCTAGGAGCACATTTGCTTTAGCTGTGTCCCTTGGAAACCTAAAATCCTGCAATCTACAGAGTTGCAGGACTCAGAGGTAGAGCAACAATCTAGCAAGCAGAAAGGTCCTGAGTTCAAACCCCAATACTACCAAACATATCATTTGGGCTGCAAAATTTTATGTCCTGCTCTACAAGATCGCTGCTATTTCGTAAGGCAAAACATAACTCTAATCAAGCTGGACCATAAAAATTAAATTTCCCCCTAATTATAGGGCCCATAGTTCTTCAAATATCATTTCATGATTAAATTGAAGTATGATGGCTGAGAAAGAAAAACACGGATGCAATTGTTTGCACTGTGAGCTAATCCAGCTTCTGTTTTTATGCAAGATTTCTTTTTCCAGTAATTGGGGTTGAATTCTTTGCCCAGAGCTTTACCACTTGGGCTCCCTGCTAAATCCTTGTGGAATAGTTTAAGACACACTGAAAGATCACGGGGCAGGGGGGGGGGGGGGGGAGGTAGAGGAAGAAGAGAAGGAAGAAGAGGAAGAGAAGGGGAAGAGGAAGAGAAGGAGAAGGTAAAAAAGGAGGAAGAGGAGGATGATAAAAAAAGGAAGAGGAGTTGGAAGAGCAGGTGGAGGAGTAGACAGACGAAGGGCTAAATTCTAAATATGGCTATTTAGAATTTGAATATTTGGAGACAGTTTCTAAAACCTATCATTTAAAGGACAACCATTGATGGCACTTTTAACCTATGGTAGAATTCAAGCTTTGTATGTTACTTTGACACAGTATCCTTCAAAAAGAGCTTCTGCCTCGCCTACTTCTCCATTATGCTTCCTAATAGTGATGGCTGGGACTCTGGAATACGAGGACAGGAAGTGGTAAATGGCAAAGTAAAACAGGCCTGGTGGTACACACCTGTCATCCCAGATACCAAGGAGGCTGGAGGCTCAGGAGTTTAAGGCTAGCCTTGGCTCAGTTAGCAGGACCCTACATCAAAAACAAAATAGAAACAAAACCACGCTGGTGGTATAGCTCCAGTGTTGAGGCACCTTCCCCTAGTTCAAATCAGTAGTCAAAAAATAAATAGGGACTGGGAAGGTGGCTCAGTGATAGAGTGCTTGCCTTGCATGCATGAGGCCCTGGGTTCGACTCCTTAGCACCACCTAAACAGAAAAGGCCAGAAGCGGTGCTGTGCTCAAATGGTAGAGCGCTAGTCTTGAGCTGAAGAGCTGAGGGACAGTGCCTAGGCCCAGAGTTCAGGCCCCACAACCGATAAAATAAATAAATACATACATAAATACATAAACATATAAATAAATAAAATGGAAGGAACCCAGGTTCTGGGCAGCCTTGTAGAATCATTGTATCATCCTTAGACTGCCTACCTGTGAACTCTTTTAGAGAAAAAAAATAAACATCCTGTCTAGACTGTAATTCTGGTTTTCCTATTATATGCACTCAAATCTAATCCATATATAAACCATAGGTGTAATTTTGAGCAGAGAAAATATTGTACATGAACATTTTGTTTTATCCCAAATAGAATCTCAGACCAGAGGATCGAGGGTAATTGCCCAATTTGCAAAATCCAAACAAACAAGAAAAACAACAAACTCTTCCACAATGTGGAAAAATAGACACACCTTGCCTTTAGCTCTTGATTTTATGACTTCAAAGAAACAATAGGAATTCTCTACCAGAGCCTAAAATAGTAATAGTTGAAGAACAATTTAGGATTTTCTTCTTGGATCTAAACAAACACCCATTCTTCTTAAATCATGGGGGAAAAATTATGAACCTCAAAGCATAAGTTATTGGGATAAAGAAATAGATTGTCCTTTTAACCAAATGGACCAAGGTACCAACACACCAAGGTTAATTCCTATGCAATGAACAAGCAGGCCATAAATAAACAAATGGCAAGGGGCTCATACATGCTACCTCTGGTGTGTCCACTTGTCAGTCATTTGGAAGCCCTGGTTTGGAGAATGAACATCTGCCAAGATTGTCACCTACACGCACCTGTCCTCTTCTATGCGCAGAAGGGACGGTATCAATAGAGTAAGTCACAGCCTGGTTGAGTTCACAGATTGAGGGGTGGTTGGGAGTTGTGTCCACTCACTATGCTCTTCTGACCCCTCCGGGTTTTTTGTTGGTTTTTTTTACGACTTTCCATTGCACCTCTCCTTTGCCGAGTTAATCATTGCTTTGCCATTATCTGCCAAGAGTTCTTATCTCTTTCGCTGTCACTTTATAACAGGGTCCTCTTATCAAGCTGTCTTGGGTCACGTGACTACTGGAAGCCTATTGAAAGTTTCCATTCTTCTGATTAGAAACCATGGTGAAACTGGATCCCAGGTTTACAGCCTGGCACTGGGCTGCAGGAGGACACAGTCCAGGGGGGAAAGGCTGGCTTGGAACTTTCTGAAATCAGGAATTTTTTTCTTTTTTTTTTCTTTTCCTTAACTTTCACTAAAGGGATAAGGGTTACTGTAGTCTGAGATAACCTTCTCAAGGTCACCAAAAAACCCAAAAAATGACAAGTTGGGCTTTTTCTTATACTCAATGACTTCTACCTTAAGCTAAAGGATTATTGCCTGTAATGTCACTAAGAATGTCTTCTAATTCGGATACTGGGGATTTCCAAGAATCTCTAAAGCTCGGATTTACACCTATTGGTAAGTAGGAGTTGCTCTATTTATCTAGTTGTGATTCTGTTACTAGCGTAATACACGTAATTTAATCGTATTAATGGATTTTCTATTTAAGTCGTGGCTTTTCCCATTGTGTTTATTAAAAAGCACACAATAAACCCATGTATACATCACACATTGTACTTTCTGACGGTTTGGGATAAATAGATAGTACAACATATGAATATTATTCGTGACACTCTATTAGCATAAAGCAGCCAGAAAGTAAAATCCATCATCTATCAATTTCCGCCTTAACATTTCCTGATCACTGATCATCAGCCACAGTAAGTTAAAACTTCAAGAATTTTTGAAGCAAGTTAATCACAACCGAGTGACCGTTGACCAAACCACCCGTGGGCAGTTTTCCAGAATCTGAAGTTTCAAGTTTCACACGCCCCAGTAGGCGTCCCAGTCACGGAGGAAACCACAGGAGTTTTTATTTTATTGTGTGAATTTATATCAAGCCACAAATCAGACCCTTATCACAAGATTAGAAATGAAGCCTCGGCCTATGTTTTGCCAACGTAAGGAGTCTGTCTTCCATGTGCAGGTAGCAGTCAGTCCCTCCATCCCGCTTCCGCCTTTCCCCTCACCCCTGCCCAGTGCGAGGGAAGGAATCTAGGGCCTGGCACAAGCTAAGCAAGTGCTTTCACACTAGGCTACATGTGCCTTCAGCCCCACAAGCTTTCTCATAACAAAGTTTAAAACAAAGTAGAGACGCACAGAAGGATTGATTTTATTGCAGAATTACATTCATTTCATCCCCAAGGTAAAGGGGCAAAGGGAAGAGACCCGTGCCCTGCAGCGGTCAGTCTGCAAGAAACCCAACCTGTCCTCCAGTCCCCTGGCCCAGGCGG